TTCCAGGACCCACGCCACTAATCTCCGACATCCCCCTCTCCATCTACGCCTACGAACCCGTCGGCTCCTGGGACAACATCATGCACTACATGCCCTGCATCACAGACCTCTACGTCCTCTACGAAAAGCTCATCCTCTGCGAAAGCGTCATCGTCATCGCAAAGTCCCCACAGCTAGCCAGCGAAGCCGTCTCCTCCCTCGTCGACCTCATCTGCCCCGTCCCCTATGCCGGCGTAGTGAAACCCTACATGACCATGCAAGCAAACTTCAAAAGCATCGGCATCGACGGCGGCACCCCAACCTCCTTCATCATCGGCGTCACAAACCCCTTCTTACTGAAACGCATCGTCGCAGCCGCAGAAGCCAGCCACAAAGCGCGGCCACACATTTTGTATCTGCAGAACTTCGACGGCCCCGTCCCAACACGCCGCCACCACTCCCTCCACCACAAATCTAGTCGCAACGCCCTCCTCGACCTCCCCGGCGGCGGCATCGAAGTCCACACGCCCTCGAAACGCTTCCTAAAATCAGACCCTGCAGTCGTATCGCAAATCGAATCCCTCCTCAAACTCGGCGACCAAACCCGCGAGCTAGGCCCCATAATCCGACGCCACTTCGCCGAGCTCACCGCACAGTTCATCGCGCCCATAAACCGCTACCTCGCTACCTCCAACGTCGTTACGCCCGGTGGCGCAAACCGGTACGCCAGTTTCCACGTCCCGGACCTTATGAGCAGTGTGAGCAAATATGGGACGAGTGTCAAGTTTCGCGGCTCGAACCCGCTACAGAGACATAGGGCAAGGGATGGGCTTTATGAGAGTTTTTGTAAGAGTGCAAGTTTTTATACTTGGTTGGAGATGAAGATTAGTTTGGAGAATGAGGCTAGTGCGGGGATGCTCAATACGCCTGTTGCGTCGTCTGCTGGGAGTGGGTGAGATGGCGATGAATGGATTGAGTGGCGGTGTGTTGCAGAGGAACGGGTAGTAGGTTGGAGGTGGAGGCTGTAATTTGCAAGATACCACGAGATAGAGAGACTACAGAATGTCTGGATAATATGAACGCATATTGAGAAACTGACCGAGCTCTTGGAATATCCGCCCCTCTGGAGCTGTACACCACACTTTGTTTCGTCACTCTGATCCCAAGGAACGTGACATAGAAGAACCCGGTCAAGGCGTCATTGCTACTGGCCTGTTCAACTAAGGGTATCAAGTTGGAGGATGTTCGCGGAAGGTATGTCATTGCAATATATACAAGCAAGAAAGAAGCAGCGCACCAAATATTTACATGCCATCTCCCCCAAAAAGCCAGGAAGCAGCGATAACAAAATATGTATCAGAAAGAAAGCATAAACCCAAAGTAATGTTAAAGGAGTGTAAGAATCGAACGCGAAAAGCAGAAAGCGCCGCGCCACTACCAGCAAAACGTCACTCGTAGAATCCCATCAACATCGAGCCTAGTCCATCCTAAACGACGAAGTCCCCTCAACAAGAGGAGGCCACCTCTTCTTAAGCCCAGAATCATCCTGAGGCCAAACATCCGTCGTACCAGCCTTATACGCAGCCCAATTAGCGCAATTCTGCTTCCACTCAGAGCCAGCAGCCGGAAGATTGATTTCGGATTTGCGCTCCAGGAACTGGATGCCGAGGCCCATGCCGACGTGGAAGGCGATGTGGCAGTGCATGAGCCACTGGGGGGAAGGATGTTAGTGTTTGTTATATCAGTAGCGATATTAAGGGATGGTTGGGGTGGTTGGGATGGTTGGGATAAGAGTGTTTACTTACAGCACCGGGGTTATCAGTCGGGTATGCGAGAACGAGCCACCCACTCCCTCTGAGCTGAACGACATCGCGACGCGGTGGGTTGGTGAAGCGCAGCGAGCTGAAGTGCGTTGCCATGCTGAATTGGCCATCACCGCCGCCGAGGACATAGCTGTCGTGGCCGTGAAGATGGATAGGGTGGGCGATGGGTGGTGCTCCTACAGCTTGCTGGATGACCCAGTAAGTCCAAGTGGATGCCGATGTTGATGGTACCTGCACAACGTTGTAAGATTGCGGGATACTGTTGTTGTTCTCTGCGACATATTGGACGGTCGGCTTTCCGGGGTCGATGATGATGGACGTGCCGTTGATGGTCCAGAGGACTGTGTTGCCATTTGCTGCTACTGGGCCGAAAGCGACGGGGAGGTTCTTGGCTTGGGCGGCGAATGTGGTGCTGGGTACGTTCTTTGCGACTTTCGGTGTGGTGATTGGGTCGGCACAGATCGTGAAGGGGTTGGCTGGAGCAGTTGTGGTGGGATCAGCCACCGTCTGGCCTTGGTACGTGAAGATGGCGCGTCCTGGGAGAATGGAGCGTGACTGGCAAAGGCCGTTAGCGTCGGCGCGGAACCAGTAGTTTCCAGCTGTTTGGTTGGCAGTGATGATCACGTCGTAGCGTTGGCCGATACCGAGTTGGAGGTGGGTGGTGTTGTATGGGACGACGGGAACGAAGTCGTTCGCGATGACTTGGAAGGGATGGCCGTCGAGGTTTACAGTCATGCTGGTGTCGACTGCGGTGTTCACAAGTCGCAGACGATAGCGCTTCCCCGCTTGCATCGTCACTCGATTGTAAGCACCGCCTCCGGCTGCGTTCTTAGAAGTGCCGTTGATCAGGATGTTGTCGGGCACAGGGGGGCCCAATCCAGCTTGCCCATTCTGGAATGCTATGGACGCTGCTTGAAAGGCGGTCTTGTAAAACCAGTCTGTAATTGGCATAACTCCAAGGTCCTCGTCATAGTTTGCGGTGGCAGGACCGTTGACAATGAACGTTCCGACAACTCCATCTCCGTACTGATGCGAGAAATGCGAGTGGTACCATGTCGTGCCGTATTCGGTTGCCTGGAACTCGTACGTCTTGAGGTCACCTGGTGCTACCGCACATTCGGTAACGCCGTTGACACCATCCTGGATGTTCTTGTTGAGCATGCGGAAGCCGTGCCAGTGGATGGAAGTGCCATTGGATTGAAGCATGTTGCGAACAGTGATTCTGATGGTATCGCCCCAGTTGGCAACGATGGTGGGACCTGGAGTTCTTCCGTTGATCAACATGCAAACCCTTGAGCCAGCACCGTCAGGGTTGCAAGTCGTGTTCTCGATGCGTAGATTGTAGGAGCGAACCACACCCGTATTGGGCCAAGAGGTGTACATGTCCGTAGAAGAGTTGAATCCAGCGGTCCAGCAATTCCTCGTAGTGGGGCTGTTGACACATGCCGCTGACGACTGACGTTCCTCGAGGCCATCTCGTTTTGGCGTGAAAGGTGCAAGCTCAGTGGTCTCAGACGGAATTGCTATCGCGGTGGTTACTGGAACGAGAAGGCCCAGGAGAGCCGTCCCAAGGATGGCAAAAGACTTCATCTTGGCTTAATGCGATGAAAGTAACGAGTGATAGGCTGTAAAGATCGACAGAAAAGAAGACAAAAGTGCGAAACGAGAACGCTGCCGAAGATGCTGCTGTAGAGCAATGGAGCAGATCGTTTGAACTCTTATATCTGATTTCATGATAGACGGCCTTCATGCTTCAGCACAGATGATCAATAACCCTTCTGCTCACTCCACTGCGTTCGCAAACGCCATGGCGGAATACGGGCCCACCCTTTCGCCATGTCCACGAATGAAGACAATGATAGCATGAATTTGAGCTGCGAAGAACGGAGATTTGACGTTCGGATGTCGTATTGTTTGGAACGCCTCACTCGAATGTGAATGTGGGCAAACGGTGATGGAGATGGATGACCTCGTAGTCATACACGAACACAGTCAGCATGGGCATTGATCGCTCACTCCTGACTAGAGCACACCGTATTTGCATCAGGCGGCGGGAAGGATGCGGCAACCCAGTGCTCTAACTGTCGACTGGACAGCAGAGGATTTCGAGGAGCTACGCTTAGATCACGCGTCGTGGCTTGCGCAAAGTCCGCAGCCAGTCCGCTTCCTTTGTCTGTACTTTGTAGCTTACTCAGCCGTGAGCCACCATCGCATTGTGGTAGGAAATTTGGAAAGGGCTGAAGTGCCGCGAAACTAAGGACTTGTGAACGCTCATGCTAGGAAGTATTTCGTCTAAATTGTACATACGACTAGAGATACCAGAAGGTAGTGTTGCTAAGACAGATAGTAGCTCCTGACGCCACGAACAGTTCAATGCGCGTATCATCAAGTCTGTGTGTTATGGTAAATTGATCGGTATCAGAATGACTGCGTTTACGACCGGAATAAAGCGGTCCACCCTCGGGGATGCGACCGGAACGTAAGGAGAAAACTGCATCATCACGAGGAGATACCAGTGGCCTGTATACTATCATCTGATACTATTGAGGTAGATTTTGGCGTGTAAGCTTGCCTATCTCCGATGTCTTCATCGCTCGCATGGCTTAATCGGAGATAGACCGTGAGTAGGCGCGCCACAGCTGATGCATCTGAAGACTTGAGAATAAGCCTCCTCTTCCATGAACATAGCAAGGGCCTGGAGTGGTGTTTTCGGATATCTTGTCGCGTGATGGTAGGTCTGGATGCCGCCAGGAAGCGAAGTCCGGCAGCGGGCAGCCCAACGGACATTGTGCGCGCTCCGATCAGCCCGCGTTCTCCTGACGAAGTAAGGACCAAAATATTAACACCTTCTCTTGTTTTCTTAGAGCATACTAGCCGTAATGTAGTTGTATTGGGGAATTCTGGTCAGACGTTATGGATGTTGCAGCTAGGAATGTCGGTACACGGAGCGAACCGAAATGGGCTTCAAAGCTGGGTGCCACGTGCGCAGTTATGCACGTTCTCACACTGGTTTTGATGTTTTCTTGCGAATGTCTACGGAGGTTGGGCTTGCGAGCGATTGTCGAACTGAGTCGTGGTGAATAAGTCGGTGAGCCTAGCGGACTCCGGCATCACCGGTAGTCTTGCGTCGATAATGTGGCAAGCTTAGGGGTCATGAAACCTCTGTAGGTTCAAGGGCGTATCTGTGTCCCTGCTTCGCTACAGACTGTGGGATCCATGACCGTCGTCTGGCGTGAACTCTGGTCCCGGCAACTCGTAGCCATCGAACGAAAAGCCAGGTGCGACCGTCGTGCCTACCAGCGTCCAGTTGCCTAGACTAGTCGCCCGCTGCCACTGGCCTTCTGCGATGATGACTTGCGGAGCCTGGTCCCTGAAGATGTCGCTACCTAGAATCTGCTCTTGAGTCGCAGTGCCGTTGTTCCACGATAGCTCCAGCGTGAGAGGGGCGCCAGCGTAAAAGTGCCATATCTCGACAGCATCGGTAACGCGATGCCAGTAAGATGGACCGGACTCGCCTTCGAGTAGATAGTAGATGGCGGTTGAGTATGAGCGATTGCCGATGGTACTGGCATCTTGAAAGGTTTGTCGAAAGTAGCCCTTCTCTAGGTTTGGCTCGAGGTGGAGCTTGGCGATGACGTCTTTCGCGTCGGCACATTCGCGATAAGCGGCAGTCAACCCTAGCAGCGATGCGGCCAAGTAAATGGCGAGTTTATGCATATCTGTAGCTTTCTGGCAGTCGTGTCGCACGGTTGGAGTATGGCCTGTAAAGTATCTCTTGTCGAAGAAACGCGCGCATGCTGATGCTTATTAGTGATGCCCTCGTAGCTTCCGAGCTGGCGGATACGATCGTCACAGACCTCGTCACGTCATCTGAACTCGACCACCACATTAGCTCCACGGCATCACAGTACCACAGCAAGAGCGCAATGAAGAGAACGAGGAAAAGACATCCCAGGTTGTCTCCATTGCGCGTCCGGAATGACACCGAAATGCCTAACCGCGACACACCCTTACGCACGCCCTTATCGCACGCCGTATGTTGTACACCACGATCGCGACATTTCATTCGATCTGATCTGCGCACTACTGTACAATGAAGAATCGGAAGCCGCCGTTAATCGCCGAAGTCGTTCGCTGTGGAGATCCGATGGCGGGGCGTCGCACTGCAGTACTCAAGTAGACTGAAAGGTTAAGTATTTCCTTCTTGTACACCGTGGATCCCGCCACATTCGCAACCCTACGCCTTTTTTCCTGTCTTCTTTCGCCTTGAGTCTGCGACGCCATGTTTCCACGTTTCGCGCTGCCCTGTTGGCTGGCAGTCTTGTCGTTTGCGAACTCAGTCGCGTCGAGTGTAACACCAGAGACCAAGAACTTGTTTGTGGATGCTGATCTTTTTGAAGCTATTGAGTAAGTCTCCTGTACCACGTAAAACCTGAACGCATAGCTGACAGTGCAACAGTGACACCGCAGCCCTACTACTCGCGTGCACTTTGCCGAATACAAACCTCCTCGCGGTAAACATCAACGTCAATTCGACGTACTCTGCCTTCGCTGCGTCGGCAATCGTGAACCACTACGGCTACTCTTCCGTCCCGATTGGGCTGCCGAGACCCTACACGAACATCACATCGCCTGAACCATTCGGAGGCGAATATACAAGCAAGGTCGCTGCTGGATGGTCCGGCGGCTCGGTGCCTAATGGGCAGGTTAACAAGACTTGGGATCCAGTAGAGCTCTATCGGAAGACGCTCGCGGAAGCGAAGAACAACAGTGTGACTGTTGTCTCGATTGGTTTCATGGGATCGTTGTCTGGCCTTCTCAATACGACCAGCGATAAATACTCCGTGTTGAATGGATACGAGCTTGTCAAGACAAAGGTCAAGGAACTGGTCGTTATGGGTGGGGGTTACTCGCAAGAGCCAGCCCTCGATGCGGAGTACAATTTCGCGATTCAGAACGCACCACACGTCATCAACACATGGCCCGATTGTGTTCCGATGACCTTCCTTGGCGCAGAGGTGGGCGTCGAAGTCCTGTCGGGCGCACGGTTTACTGTGTGTGGACCCCCGAATGACCCAGTCAAATCGGCTTGGGAGTACTGGGGGTCTTACAACCGCTCCGAATACTCATGGGACTTTTTGACCATGGTGTATGCAGGCAGAGGCCTGGGCAGTTGGTTCGAGTACGGAAACGAAAATGGGTACAACTTTCTGTTCCCCAATGGCACTAATATCTGGGTGGAGGACGAAGGCAAGACCAGCCAGCACTATTTGAAGCTCAAGGCCTCGAACGAGACGGTTTCCAAGGAAATGGATAATCTGCTACTGCGCGGCGCGTGGACCCACGCCCAAGTGGACTGAAGCCTCATACTATCGAAAGAAGTGTTCTACTAAGCTCAGGCTTACCAGGCTTTTCAGCGGTTCGCACGGCTAGTCAATACCCTCCAAGACAAACCTCTTGTTCACTTGCCAGGCTTCCAGATTCAAGTGTAACAACCGTATTTTCCTACGAGCCAGCAATGAATAGTATCCATTCCATCACCCACCGAAACTTTCTTTTCGCTACTTTCTCAGGATCATTATTTTTGATCATGCAGAGCGCTGACAGCCTTGAGTCGAGGCCGGAACTGGGTGCCGATAGTCGATAAGACGGGATGCCATTTCTGGTAAAGATGCGCCCTGCCAAGTGCGGATTCCGCTTGACGCCAAGCTCGTCATGTGGCGTCGTAATCGTTCACCACAACGTTGTTCCCTCAAAGCTTACCGACAAAATCCCCATTGGTCGGAACGCTCAACAATGTTCAGGCGAGCTACGACGAGACTTCACGTGCTTTCTTGGCTACCCAGAACGCCCTGCCGCGCTCCACTGCCAAGTATAGATTTAGCTTCCGCCGAGAAACCAACAAGCGCGTGTGCCCACAATGACATCGTCCCAGACATGTCTTCTTGGATAATCTTGGGTAAACATACAACTCCATGTCTGGGCGCGGCCGCCCCGTGTCTGATCTCGATGTATAGTTACATACGCCAACCAGTGCAACGGAGAAGGATGGTGTGGAGAAAACATGGGGATTGTCACCCTGGTGCAGGATTTGACCCGCTCTTTGATGGAGAAATTGTGGGTGTGAACTGTGCCCCGGATACCCTATATAACAGGACCTGTCATGGTTCCCAGGCATCTGGTCGTGTGTCCTTTTACTCCTCCACTTTGCGATCAGCATCTCCACACGACCTAGGAGATCCCATCTAGACGCGATACTTGAGATCAGTCGTCACCATGTCTCGTCGAAAGCCAGACATCGAGGCTACCGAGCCCAACTTCTCATCATCGGGTAGTGACAAGTCCGACTTTGGCGCTGGACAGCACCACGAACATGCCGGCGCTGCTCCTCAGCGGAAGGCTTCGGTCGCCGCAAAGCTCAGGAACCCCCTAGCCGGTTATAGCGAGGAACATGTCCTAGCCGACGTCGACACGTGGTGTGTTGAGAAGGGCCTACAGGAGTACCAGGATGAGTTCCGCAAGGGCGCCCTCATTGCTCGTGTAGGACAACGAGACGATGGTTTTGAATACGTCAACCAATTGTCCACCGAAGAGAAAGACTGGCTACGACACGAGGTTACCCATCGGTGGTCTCAACCTAAAATGCTGTATTTCTTGGTTGTGCTCTGCGCTGGATCTGCCATCGTGCAAGGAATGGACCAGACGGCTGTCAACGGTGCTCAGGTCAGTTGCTTTGCCGTTCCCATCTTATCATTTCCCGCCACTAACATCTTGTCCAGGGATTCTACTTCAGAGAATTCGGAATTACAGAGGACCAGGTGTGGCTTCGAGGTCTGCTTAACGGGGCTCCTTACCTTTGCTCTTGTCTCATCGGATGCTGGTCCAACGCACCCCTGAACAAGTTCTTTGGCCGCCGTGGAACTATCTTCATCTCTTGCATCATATCTTTCATTACCGGTATCTGGATGGCGGCCGCTGAGAGCTGTGAGTAACTCGCCAAAAGCGTATGAACTGAGAGCTGACGATTACGATAGGGCCAAACCTCCTCGTCGCGCGCTTCATGCTCGGATTCGCTGTCGGCGCAAAGTCCTCGACTACGCCTGTCTACGCTGCTGAATCTGCGCCAAAGACCATCCGTGGAGCCCTCACCATGATGTGGCAAATGTGGACCGCTTTCGGAATCATGCTGGGTTTCATCGTCTCCGTCGCATTTCAGGATGTTACAATCATTGGCGGCCCGAATTCGCCATGGAGGTGGATGCTGGCCTCCACCAGTATTCCTCCGATGATTGTCTGCGTCCAAGTATACTTTTGCCCAGAATCGCCGCGCTGGTAAGTTTCCAACTTGCAGTTCATTGGCCTTGCCTTGAGCTAATCTGAATCAAAGGTATATGGAGAAAGGCAAATACGACAAGGCGTTCAACTCACTCTGTCGACTACGCGCGCACAAGATCCAAGCTGCACGCGACATGTACTACGCGTACAAGCTTCTTGAGATTGAAAACGCGGAACGCGAGGGCCGAAACCCGTTCAAGGAATTCTTCATCGTCCGCCGCAACCGTCGCGCCGCACAGAGCGCCTTCTTCGTCATGTTCATGCAGCAATTCTGTGGAGTCAACGTACGCACCTCAGATCCCTCGGTTTCACTTTTCTATCTCAGTCGCTAACAGTAGCATCAGGTCATCGCATACTACAGTACCTCCATCTTCGAATCAGCCGGTTTTTCCGAGACCAACGCCTTGCTCGTATCCATGGGCACGGGCGTAACCAACTTCCTCTTCGCGATACCAGCTATCTACACCATCGATACCTTCGGCCGCAGGAACCTATTGCTTACGACCTTCCCTCTTATGGGTCTGTGTCTTCTCTGGTGCGGATTATCCTTCTACCTACCCGAGAATCCCGATGGCACGCCATCCCCGCAGCGTCTTGGATCCATCGCCGCCGCAATCTACGTCTTCATGGCCGTCTACTCCCCCGGTGAAGGCCCCGTGCCCTTTACATACTCCGCAGAAGCGTTTCCACTCCACCTCCGCGACGTCGGCATGTCCTTCGCTACAGCTACCTGCTGGGGCTTCAACTTCATCCTCTCCCTCACGTGGCCGGCTCTTGAGGCCGCTTTCACACCAACGGGTGCGTTCTGTTGGTACGCAGCTTGGAACTTCTTCGGCTTTTTCTACGCTTACTTCCTCTTGCCTGAGACTAAGGCGCTTACGCTGGAGGAACTGGATACGGTCTTTGATGTTGGTAATCGCCAGTTCGCGGCTTACTACACGAAGAAGTTGCCGTGGTATCTCAAGAAGCGTGTTTTGCGCCAGGATGTCGCGCCCATGGAGCCGCTGTTTGAACTTAATGAGCAGGGTGGGCATGCGGATTTTGTGGATGAGCCGCTTGGTGGTGGGGGTGGTGCTGCTGGTGTAGAGGATAAGAAGATTGTGGAGAAGGATGAGGTGATGAGGACGTGAGCGTCTTGCTAATGTGAGCACGACGAGTTGTTGCAATCTTCACCTTTGCGCATTGCTGTCGTGTGGAGGGGAGTTTCTAGTTGAGTTTTGATGGGTTTGCTTTTGCGCTCATCTGCAACTTCGTTATACCCGTGTTGATGATAGTATCAACAAGGAGAATGAGATATCCTTGTTTGCTTTGACTACGTAAGCGTTTCTTCATTATAATGACTGAGCTTGCACTTGTCAATGTATTAGGACATATGCGTGATT